GAGCTCGGGGATGTTTCGCTCGGGTGGGGGCAGAGCTGGGGGCTCACGGGGGGCAGGAGAGGACGGGTGGGGCCGGTGAGATGAGGAGGAGGGGGAGAGGGAAGGACTGAGCGGATCTGGTCACCCCCAGGGACGGTGTTTGTGGTGCAGTGGGACAAGGTTTATCTGCAGGGCAAGGAGGACATGGGCAGCTTCACCTTCCAGGCCGCCCTGCACAGCAGCGGGAGGATCGTCTTCGGCTACAAGGAGGTGGGAGAGGGGTCCCTCAAGGGCCAGGAGGGTCCCTGAGGGTTCCCTGGGGTCCGGGATGAGGGGTTGGATATTCCCGGAGCCGGGGCAGGGCTGGGATTTGTCACATTCTCCGTTCCCGGCGCAGATCCCGGTGCCGGTCCTGCAGATCAGCGCCAGCCAGCACCCGGTGAAGGCCGGGCTCTCCGACGCCTTCATGGTCCTCAACCCCTCTCCCGATGTCCCTGGTGAGTCCCTGGAGGAGCTGATCCCACGGGGAGCGGGGCAGGAGAGCTGCGGGATCCTCGGCTTTGGGGGTTTGGGGATGTGAGGATGCCCCGCTGGAATTCCCAGGGAATGTGAGGAGGCGTTTGGGGTTCTGCTGCCCCTCGTGTTCCCTGATTTTTGGGATCCCTGTTTGGGATCCATGCTCCCCATGGCCGTGACCATCCCTTGGCCTCGGAGCTTTGCTCCGTGAGCAGCTGAGCTCTTCCCTGATTCCCAGGAGACAAATCCAATTCCTCTTCCATCCCAAAGGGAGCTGCAGGCAGAGGAGAGGCTCAGGGCGTGCAGGGTGCCCCATTCCCATGGAAAAGGGAGGTTTGGGGGGGTCTGCAGGGTGCCCCATTCCCATGGAAAAGGGAGGTTTGGGGGGTCTGCAGCCGCCCCCGTGCGTGTCAGAGATACGCAGGATGCGGGAATTCTCACATCCACGTTTATTCCCAGTGCTCCCTGAGCTGCAGGGCTCCCCAAAAAAATCCTCTCCGGTCACGCAGAGCCCGACCCCGCTCCTCCCTCCCGGTTTTTCCCGTTATTCCCGGAGCCATCTGGCGCTGCCCGCGGTTCCTCCCCTCCGGCCCCGCGGGGTTCCCGAGCGGGCAGGGGAAGCCGGGTGGGCTCGGAGGGATGGAGAGGAGCGGGGGATGCTCGTCCTGGAAGGAGAGCTGGGATTTCCCGCGGGGATAAACCGGGCTGTGTCCCGGGACAGAGCCCGGGGGGGAGGAACGTGGGGCAGGAGGGGATTTTGGGGGGAGGCTGCGGTGACTCAGAGCCCGGCGATGTTTGTTTGGGAGCGGAGCAGGGCTGGAGCGCATCCCTGCTCGGAGAGAGGGGCAGGGAGAGCTCCGAGCTCCTCCGGGCAGGGCAGGAGAGGGAATCTGTGCCCTGGCACCCCCCAAAGGGAAAACCCCACTGTCGTTCCGATTGGGAACGGCTAGAAAGAACGACACAAACTCTCAAGGGAGTTTCAACACGAGAATTCTCTAGTTTATTGCTTCAGACTTGTTTTATAGACAGATACGTGGAAAGTACAGAAAAGAAACTCTTATTGGTTAGCAAAGTGCTACATCACCATCATTGGTCAGGGGCACTCTACCCCCCTGACCCTCTCCTGCAAGGGAAAACAAAAGGACAGATAAACAACACCTGGCAGTTGTTTTCTGTCTCTGAGGATTGTTTTGAAATCCTCCTTTGAAATTCTCAGGCTAGCTTCTCAGGCAGGACTGAGAGGCCATGGGCCTGCAGTCTCTGCAGCTCCCTGCAGCCTGTTCCAAAGCTAGCATCCATACCCCACCCCTGGGGCTGCCCCGAGCCCTGGTGGGGCCCGGCCCCGGGCAGGGGGGGTTTGTGCCCGCTCTGAACCCCGGGCTCCGCTGCAGAGTCCCGGCGCCGGACAATCTACGAGTACCACCGTGTGGAGCTGGACACCAGCAGGATCACCAGCCTGTCCGCCGTGGAGTTCACCCCGCTGCCCAGTGAGTCCCAGAGCCCCTTCCCAGCCGCAATTCCAGCCACAAACCACGATTCCCAGCCCAAGGGGGCAGCCAAGGCTGGGCCGGAGGTGCTGGGAGGGTGATGCCGCCCATCTCCCGGAGTTTGGGGTCCATGGAGCCGTGGAGAGAGGGGGTGCTGTCAGCAGGGAGCAGCTCACCCCATTCTGGGGTCCCCAGGGAGCAGCTCACCCCGTCCTGGGGTATTTGGGGAGCCCCACATCCCCATCCTGGGGTATTTAGGGAGCAGCTCACCCCATCCTGGGGTATTTGGGGAGGAGCTCACCCCAGCCTGGGGTATTTGGGGAGCCCTACATCCCCATCCTGGGGTATTTGGGGAGCAGCTCACCCCACCCTGGGGTATTTGGGGAGCCCCACATCCCCGTCCTGGGGTATTTGGGGAGAAGCTCACCCCATCCTGGGGTATTTGGGGAGCCCCACATCCCTGCTCTGGGGTATCTGGGGAGCCCCACATCCCTGCTCTGGGATATTTGGGGAGCCCCACATCCCCGTTCTGGGGTCCCCAGCTGTCACTGAAGCTCTCCCACAGCCAGCCCTGCCTGGATGGATCCGGGATGATCTCGCAGTCAACCTCAGCCAGCAGAAATCCCAAACCCCTCGCGTTTGCCAGCCCAGCTCAGGCAGGAGGCCGGGACGCAGCCCAGGAAGGGCCGATAAAGGAGGGATCTGCAGGAAATCCCTCTTCCCTCTGCTCAGAGCTCCCCAAAAAAGGGCCGAGGTCGGCGGTCCCAGCCCCCCGTGGCCGGGGGGGGACACACGGGGGTCCCAGGCTGTGCCCACCCCTCAATCCCTCCCAGCTCTTCCCACTAAAACCCCTTCCCAGCTGACTCTGCTGGACACCAGCTCACTCCAGCTCTGTCTCCAAGACATTTCCAACGCCTCCACACCCGGCTGAGGTTTTTGGGAGGCTCCTCGGGCGGTTTTTTAGCTGCTGGATCCAAGGACAGGCGGGCACACGAGGCAGAGCCAGCCGTAAATCCGGGCTGAGGGTAAATCTGCCAGGAGACACCCAGGGGCTGCGTTAAACGCCCTCCCCGCGGTGTTTGATGACAATTTTAGCAGCAGGCAGGTTACTGCAAGCTGAACATAAATAACCATTCTGCAAGAGCTCTCTATTTTTTCCCTGGTTTGGTTTTTTTTCCCTGTTTTTTCCCCCAGCAGCTCGGGGAAATGGGAGCTGCAGAGGAGCCACCACCAAACCGGGGGGTTTCAATTGGGGGGGTTCAGTTTTTAGGGGTTTTTTTGGGTCAGAAAGGAGGGATTTGGGCTCTGCTCCTGCTGCAGAGGACTGAGGTCTCTCCCTGCCTCGGGAAGGGCTTGGGGTGGGAGAGGAGCTGAGGATTGGGGAGCGTGGGCAGGTAGCCCAAGGCTGGGGGAGCTCGCCCAGGCTCCAGGGGCAGAGCTGGGGGCTCAGGGAGGGAGGACCTGGATGGGGGGAGCTGCTCCAGGTGCCCCAGGTTCAGGAACACAAAATCACATTTATATATTATTATATAAATGTGCTTTTATTAAAGAGCTCTGAGCCTCAGGGGCGCACAAACCCAAATGTGACCCCGTTTGGTTCTCAGCTGAACATGTTTTATACTCGGTTGTGTTTTATATGTAATATAATAAAATTAATATAATATAATAAATATAATAAAAATTAATAAAATAAATCTAATAAAATTAATATGCTATAATAAATATACTATAATATACTATAATAAATATACTATACTATACTATACTATAATATAATATAATATAATATATAATGTAATATATAATATAATATAATGTAATGTAATGTAATATAATATAATATAATATATAATGTAATGTAATATAATATAATATGTAATATAATATAATATAATATAATATATAATATAATGTAATGTAATGTAATATACTATACTATACTATACTATAATATACTATAATATAATATAATATAATATAATATAATATAATATAATATAATATAATATAATATAATATAATATAATATAATATATATAATCCAACACAGAGCCCCTCTCCTCTCTCTTTTCCAGCCTGTCTGCAGCACCAGAGCTGCGAAATGTGCGTGAGCTCGGAGCTGACCTTCAACTGCAGCTGGTGCCATGTCCTGCAGAGGTACCTCACCAGCCTCCCTTTCTACCTCTGTTCCTGATTTTACTGATTTTTAAATTATTTCCCCATTTTTTGTTGTTTTTTTGTAATTTTTTGGGGTGCTGAGGTGCTGCTGTTGGCCCCCATCTCCGGCTCCAAACCGCTCCGAGGTCGCGTTTCCTGGGGTTTTTAGTCCTGGGATGAGCTGGGAGATGAGGCAGGAATCACATTTTTTGTCAGTGAGGTGTTAAAAAATGGGGAGCACTTGTCCTGACTCAGGCAGGGAGGATGGAAGGGCTCCAGGAGGGTGACAGCAGGGAGGTGACAGCGTTGGGGACACCCCTCAGTGCAGGACAGGCCTGGCTCACCAGGCGTGGGAGCAGCAGAAGTGGGAATTTCCTGAATTTTTGGGGCTGGATGGGGCAGGGATGAAAGGAGCAGCAGAAGTGGGAAATTTCTGATTTTTGGGGGCTGAAAGAAGCACCAAAAGCAGGAAATTCCTGAATTTTTGGGGCTGGATGGAGCAGGGATGGGAGCACCAAAGGTGTGGAGGAAATTCACTGAATTTTTGGGGGGCTGAGTGGAGCAGGGATGAAAGGAGCAGCAAAGGTGGGAATTTGGAGGACGTGGTGCTGTCCCTGCTCCCCTCCAGCTCAGGCAGGGTTTTCCAGACAGGATTTTAATGAGATTGAGCTGAAGGATTTATTGAGAGCTGGTGGCAGGGGAGGGGACCCAGTAACACAGATCCTGCTGTGTGGAAACCCCTCTCTCCTGGGGGCTCCTCCCAGCCCCCTCCTCATCCCATTTCCCGTGGGATTTTATCCCATGATGGAATCCTGGAATGGTTTGGGTTGGAAAGAGACTTTAAATCCCATCCTGTGCCACCCCTGCCATGGCAGGGACACCTCCTGCTGTCCAGCCTGTCCTGGGACATTCCCAGGGATCTGGGGGGTCTGGGAATTCCATCCCAGCCCTCACAGGCAGGAATCCCTTCCCAATATCCCACCAATCCCAGCCCTCTGGAGGTTTAACCCTTTTCCACCCTCCCGGCTGCCGTTGTTGGTGTTTGCTCCTGTCCCTGGGGACAGTTCAGGCTCCAAGTGGGAATTCCAGCTGGCAGAAACTGGGAATTGTTGGCTTCCAGCCGAGCTGGTCCTGCAGAGCCACCCTGATCCTTCCCAAGGCAGCTCCAGGCTTGGAGCCACTATCCCAACCTCGTGATCCCAACCCCGAACCCTCCCAGCTCTCTCCCAAACAGCTAAAATCCCTTTTTCTGCCCAAAACTGGGACAGGAACCGGGCTCTGAGCAGGGATCTCAGCAGGAGCTGAAGTTTTCCTGAGGTTTCTCCTTTCCCTGCTGGGTAAATGGCACAAACCTCTTGTGGCTTTTCCTCCCTGAGCCTTTCCAGAGGTTGGAGCGCTGCTCCGAGCGCTGTTCCTGCAGGGAATTGTCCGGCTGGCGTTTGCCTGATGTCATTTGGAATTCCTGTGGTGTTTTTCCCGTGCAGATGTTGCTGGAATGAGCCCAACCAACCCCGCGGATCTGGCGGCCTTGCCCTGGCAGCGAGTCCGGGGATGGAAACTCGAGCTCAGCCCGTGCCTCCATCCCGCTTTTCCCTCTCCTTTTCCCTTGGAGAAGCGCTCCTCACCCTTTTCCCTCTCTGGGAAGAGAAATGTTTGGGCTCTTCCAGCACAGCCTCATGGAAACCCCAGAGCTCTGGATAAAATCCTGGCTGTCGCCTTTCCGAGCCCTTTTTGTCCAGCTGTTCCCACCCAGCAGTGATTTGGGACTTTTGGGATCCACCAGGCCCTGGATGATCCCGCTTTTCCCCACAGGTGCTCCAGCGGCTTCGACCGCTACCGGGAGGAGTGGCTGAGCTACGGCTGCGGCCAGGTGAGCCCGGAGAATCCCAACCCCTCCTCGTGGGCCGGGAATGGCGCTGAGCCTCTGGAAAACCAATGGCCCTGCTCAGGAAATGAGTGCTGGTGTCAGCTCGGGGTCAGACCTTGGGATATCCCTTTGTTCCCTTTGGATACCCCTTGGGATATCCCTTTATTCCCTTTGGATACCCCTTGGGATATCCCTTTGTTCCCTTTGGATACCCCTTGGGATATCCCTTTGTTCCCTTTGGATACCCCTTGGGATATCCCTTTGTTCCCTTTGGATACCCCTTAGGATATCCCTTTGTTCCCTTTGGATATTCCTTTATTTCCCTTTATTTATCTTTATTTCTTTGTTCCTTTATTTCCCTTTGTTCCCTTTATTTCTTTATTCCTTTATTTCTCTTTATTTCTTTATTCCTTTATTTCCCTTTGTTCTCTTTGGATACTCCTTGGGATTTCCCTTTGTTCCCTCTAGTTATTCCTTTACTTCCCTTTATTCCTTTATTTCCCTTTATTCCCTTTGGATATCCCTTGGGATTTTCCCTTTGTTCCCTTCAGATATTCCTTTATTCCCTTTGGATATCCCTTTAAATATCCCTTTATTCCCTGAAGAATCTCCTTATCCCTTTATTCCTTTTAGACCCCTTTGGATATTCCTTTATTCCCTTTGGATATCCCTTTAAATATCCCTTTATTCCCTGAAGTATCTCCTTATATCCCTTTATTCCTTTTAGACAGCCCTTTGGATAATCCTTTATTCCCTTTGGATATCCCCTTATTTATTCCCTTGGGATATCCCTTAATTTGCTTTGGATATCCCATTATTTCCTTGGGGTATCCCTGTATTTCCTTGAGATATCCCTGTATTTCCTTGAGATATCCCTGTATTTCCTTGGGATATCCCTATATTTATTCCCTTGGGATATCCCATTATTTCCTTGAGATATTCCTTTATTTCCTTGGGATATCCCTTAATTTCCTTGAGATATTCCTTAATTTCCTTGAGATATCCCTATATTTATTTCCTTGAGATATCCCATTATTTCCTCAGGATATTCCTTTCTTTCCTTGGGATATCCCTTAATTTCCTTGGGATATTCCTTATATTTCCTTGGGATATTCCTATATTTATTTCCTTGAGATATCCCATTATTTCCTCAGGATGTTCCTTATTTATTTCCTTGGAATACCCCTATATTTATTTCCTTGGGATATTCCTTTATTCCCTTTATCTACACCTATAAACCGTTATTTATCCCCCTTAAACACCCCTAGATTCCCTTTTCATCCCTGGATTCCCTTTGGATTCCCCTTCACCTCCCCCTTTATTCCCTTAATTAAGAAACCGGGAAAAGCAACTCCAGGATTTCCTTTTCCAGCAGCGGGACGAGGGGAGCTGTGAGGATCTGGCGGAAGGCGAGCGTTACCCCGCGCCCCCGGCCAGCCCCGCGACCCCGCGGCCGCAGCACGGCTCCTCCGCCACGGCCTCGCTCTTCCTCGGCAGCCTCACCACCGAAGGTGTGTGCCCAGCACCCTGGATCCCGGGATGGAGATCCACTTATCCTGAGCCTTGGGATGGGATCCACTGATCCTGAGCCTTGGGATGGGATCCACTGATCCTGAGCCTCGGGATGGGGATCCACTGATCCTGAGCCTCGGGATGGGGATCCACTGATCCTGAGCCTTGGGATGGGATCCACTGATCCTGATCATTGGGATGGGGATCCGCCATTCCTGATCCTTGGGATAAGGGATCCACTGATCTTGATCCCGATCCTTGGGATGGGGATCCACCATTCCTGATCCTTGGGATGGGATCCACTGATCCTGAGCCTTGGGATGGGGATCCACCATTCCTGATCCTTGGGATAAGGGATCCACTGATCTTGATCCTGATCCTTGGGATAAGGGATCCACCATTCCTGATCCTGATCCTTGGGATGGGGATCCACCATTCCTGACCCTTGGGATCAGGGATCCCCCATCCCTGATCCCTGGGACAAGGGATCGATCCCCATCCTGGATCCTGGTCCCTGGACAGGTCTTTCACTGCCTCAGAAAACCCCGATCCGAGTAAATCCCAGGACCGGATGGGCTTTGGAGCAGAATCATGGAATGGCTTGGGGTGGGAAAGGACCACAAATCCCCTCCAAACCCCAGTGTCCAGCCTGGCCTTGGACGCTCCCAGGGATCCAGGGGCAGCCCCAGCAAATCTGGGAATTCCATCCCAGCCCTCACAGGGTGGAATTTCTCCCCAAAATCCCCTCCCGAGTCCATTTCTCCATCTGTAAATGAGCAGCGGCGACCCCCAGATCTGTAAAAATCTGGAATCCCAGAAGGATTTGGCTTGGAAGGGAGTTCCAATCTCATCCCATTCCAAGGGCAGGGCTATCCCGCTATCCCAGGGCGCTCCAAACGCCGTCCTCGGGGAGGGATGGGAGCAGGAGATGCTGGAAAAGGGCAGGAAGGGCAGCCCAGGTGCCAGCCGGGGGAGCGAGGCACGGTGGGAAGAGCTTCCCAGTTTTTCCAGCTTTTTCCCCCGTTTGTGAAGCAGCCAAGCCCCGGTGGGCAGAACCCGCGGGATCCTGAAGGGGTCGATCCCCGGATTCGGGGATTTCTCAAGGCTGGAATTCCCGCGGCGATCACCATTTCCTTGGGAATGCTGCTCCACAAAAATCATCCCTGGAGACCCCCCGGCTCCATAATCCCATTAATGCGGGACCCGCCGATCCTGGCGCAGGTAGCGCCGCAATTCGGCTGCTTAATTGTCCCTACCGCCGAGTGCTAATTAGGGTAATTAGGAGCGCTCCTAATTGTCCTTCGGCGCCGGGAAGGAGCCGGGTGGGGGAACGGAGCTGGCGCCTGCCGGGGCTGGCTGGGAGAGGAGCGGGGAGAGGCACGGGGGGTTGGGAATCCAGCATTTTCCAGCCCAGGAAAACGGGAGGATGCGCGTGACACGGGCGCCAGGAGAATTCGGGATCTGGGAAAGAGAAAACGGAGGGGGGAGGGAGGGGATCGGGCCTGAGGGGCCCTTCCCTCCATCCCAGATCCCCGGATCTGTGCGATTCCCTCCATCCCAGATCCCCGGATCTGTGCGATTCCCTCCATCCCAGATCCCCGGATCTGTGCGATTCCCAGCATCCCAGATCCCTGGGTCTGTGTCCTCCCCTCCATCCCAGATCCCCGGATCTGTGCGATTCCCAGCATCCCAGATCCCTGGCTCTGTGTCCTCCCCTCCATCCCAGATCCCTGGATCTGTGCAATTCTATCCATCCCAGATCCCTGGGTCTGTGTCCTTCCCTCCATCCCAGATCCCTGGATCCACATCCTCACTATCCCAGATTCTTGGGTCTGTGTCTTCTCCATCCATCCCAGATCCCTGGATCTGTGTCCTCCCCCCCATCCCAAATCCCTGGATTTGGGATCCATGTCCCTCCCAACCCTTCCAGCTCCCTGGATGTGCTCCTGGAGCTCTGGGGCACAGCCAAGCCCCGGGAATTCTGGATTGGGATTTGGAGGCTGAGCCAAGCTCCAGGAATTCTGGATCGGGATTTGGAGGCTGAGCCAAGCTCCAGGAATTCTGGATCAGGATTTCACCCTCGTGGGGGCGACCGTGTGGAGCCTGTCAAGAGACAAAGCCTTGTCCGGCAGATCCTTCCAGAATGAGCCAAGGAATGGAAGTGGCTTTTGAGCATCCCATGGAATTTTTGGGATGCTTTGGCCGCAGATTCCATCGGCTGGACACGGACACCCGGCCATGGATCAAAGCTCCCAGCGGGAGCAGCAAACGACCCCTTTCCCGGGATATTTGTGCTCCAGGTGCCCCTCAGCCACGGAAAACCTCACCCCACTCCCACTCTGGGCTTTTCCAGGTGCCTCCCTTTCCCACAGAGATCTAAAACCATCCAGAGATCCCATCCCAGGGGGAGGGAATGGGGCGGGAATCACGAGGATATCCCGGGAACATCCTGACTTTGTTGTTTTCTCCTTTCAGATGACACGAAGCTCAACCAGTTTGCGGGAGGAGAGGGTAAGGCCTTCATCCCCCTCCCTGCTCCGAGGGAACTCAGGATTCTCTGGATTCAGGCGTGAGGGAGGACCCCAGAGAGATCAGGACCCAATTCCCGTTGTCCTCACCCTGATCAGCGCAATTCCAGCCAGGGGAAATTTGGGAATACTCTGTTTTATCCTGATGCTCTTTGTCCACTTTTCCCACTCGGTCCTGCTTTGCCAGCTCCAGGAGTTTTCTCCTTCCGTATAATTCCCATTATTTACAAGATTTTTATGGACACAAAGCTCTTTTTCCTTTGAATTTCTCTGGCTGGGACCTAAAAACGAGGTAAAATCCAACTATAAATTGTCCTTTGCCTGGATTTTCCCTCTCTTTTCCTGGGAATCCTGGCTCAGCCTCAGCCTTTCCATCAGCCCCAAACTGCTGCCTAATTCCAGAGGTTCTGGAAGGTTCCAACCCCTCTTCCCCTGCTGTCAGGTCCTTGGCAGAGCAGGAGCGAATCCCAGCTCCCGGGGAAGTTCAGCCGGCAGGGTGGAGCCTTTCAAATCCACATCATTCCAAATTTTAACCAAACCTCTCCCCAAATCTCCGGGAATGTCCCCAGGAAGGGTCCCCGGGTGGGGTTGCCGAGGTCTCAGCCCGGCCGGATCAGCCGGATCCCGTTTTCCAGGCACGGGGAGCAGCATTCCCTCCGGGAGCGGCGGCGCCCCGCTGGCCACGGGCACCGTGGTGGGAATCGTGGTGGCCGTGCTGCTCCTGGCCGGGATCATCCTGGCCGGGATCTACATCAGCGGCCACCCCACGTCCAGCGCCGCCCTGTTCCTCATCGAGGTGAGTCAGATCCTCCCGTGCTCCCCATCCTCACTTCCCTGCAGCTGAGACAGCCCAAATCCCTGGATCTGTATTCCCAACCCAGCCCAGATCCTTGGATCTGTATCCTCCAACCCAGCCCAGATCCCTGAATCCACATCCTTCCCAACTCATCCCAAATCCCTGGATCTGTGTCCTCCAACCCAGCCCAGATCCTTGGATCTGTATTCCCAGTCCAGCCCAAATCCCTGGATCTGTGTCCTCCAAACCATCCCAGATCCCTGAATCCACATCCTTCCCAACTCATCCCAAATCCCTGCATCTGTCTTCCCAACCCAGCCCAAATCCTTGGATCTGTGTCCTCCTCTCCAGCCCAAATCCCTAGATCCATGTCCTTCCCAACCCAGCCCAAATCCCTGGATCCCCAACCCAGCCCAAATCCCTGGATTTGATAATTCCAGAGAATTCTTCTGGAATTTTCTCTGTCTCCACCCTGGAGACCGCGGGAAACTTGTGAATCGTCCCTTTAACGTTATTTTTCATGGAATTTTCCTCACGCCTCTGTTTCCGTCCCCAGCGGAGGCCGCACCGCTGGCCCGCCATGAAATTCCGGAACCACTCCAACCCCTCCTCGTACGCCGAGGTGGAGGCGGCCAGTCAGGAAAAAGAGGGATTTGTGGAGGCCGAGCAGTGCTGAGCGCTTCTCCCGAGGAATCCCGAGGAATCCCAAGGAATTCCAAGGAATCCCGAGGAATCCCAAGGAATCCCCAGGAATCCCGAGCCTCCCGTGTCCCAAAGCGCCGGAATCTTCCCTCGCCCCACGGGTCTGTCCCCTCTTGGAAAAGGAGCGGCGAGGAGAGGGAGAAGATCCCAAGAAGGAGATTTTTTTTGGGGAGGAATTTTGGGAGGGGATCCGTGCCTGGATCCTTGTGGATTCCCGGCTGGACACGCTGGGAAAACAAAAAAAACAGCGGCCGATTTTTCCAGCTTGGTGGGGATTTCTGCCTTTTTTTGTTGTTGTTTTTGGTTGTTTTTCCTCTTCCCTCTTCTGCTGGAACCTTCCCGCGGGGCTGGGAATGTGGGGGAATCTCCCTGTGGGCTTGGCTGGAGCAGCAGGGAGGATTTTTGGAGCTCTGTGCTCGGGAACGTCGTGCCGGCGCCTCTGGAGCGGGAAGAGATTCCGTGGTGTCCCAGGAGAGGCACCCAGGGCTCCTCTCCCACCTCCTTCGTCCCTTTCTCCGCTCTCCCTTTCCCCTTCCATCAACATTTCCATTTTGCCCTCGTGGCCCAGCCGCCATTCCCACTTTTCCCACCCTTCCTCTGTTTTTCCAACCCTCCCTGATTCCAACTCTCCCTTCCCGGCTTCCCCTTCCACCCCCCGCTCCCAGGAAAAGGAAATTCGGGTTATTTTGAGACCAAAACCCCGCCGAGGATTCACCTCCGGGACGAGCGCCGGCTTTGCTGTGCTTTTGGGCGCTAAATTAGCTCGTTAAATTGCTAATTGTGACCCTTGGCCCTGAAGGAGACGAGGAGAGGGGGGGAAAATAAATCTGAGATTCCACCAAAATGCGTCCTCTGATGGCCACGGATGCAACGGGAACGGAGAGGGTTGGAGGGCAGAGCTCCGGGATAAATCCTGGAGGAAATCCAAGCTCGTCCTTGGGGGTTTTCCGATCCCTGAGGAGTGCTCGGACATCGCGGGAAAACTGAAAATCACCCCTATAAAAATCATCATTTTCAGTTTATTTCTCATTTTGGTTTCATTTCTGGGACCAGCCCCTGGGTTTGGATGGATTTTGGGATGCCAGATCCCAAGGAAGGCTTTGATTCGGGATCTCTTGGGGTTTTCTACTCCTTCCTGTGAAATAATCCCACAGATCTGACCCTAAACTGAAAGAAATAAAACCCCCCAAAATCCCAAATCCAGAGGGAATTAAACTTTCTTTCCCCACACCACAAAAACCGTTGGATTCTGGAATTTTCCCCCTCTTTATTTTTAATTTTCTCCTGCTCCTCAGCTCGTTATTCCGATAATCAAATTTGGGGAGGATTTTTTGCCTGGAAATGCAAGCCCAGGTCCAAAGCAGCGTCTTGAGCCGTAATTAACGGGAGGAGGGAGCAGATTGCTCCGGCAGAGCCCGTGGGTGGAGGAATAAAATCTCAAAGAGATGCTCAGAATCTGAATATTCCAGGCAGGATTCGGCTCCGGGTGCGAGTGGGAGCTGGGATTTGGGATTTTAAATGGATTTAAAATGGATTTAAAATGGATTTAAAATGGATTTAAAATGGATTTATTGTGCCTCAAGTTGCAGGGAGGGATGGAATGGAGCTGGGAAGGGTTTGGAGCAGTGGGAATGGATCCTGGAAGGGTTTGGAGCACCAGGAATGGAGCTGGGAAGGGTTTGGAGCACCGGGAATGGAGCTGGGATGGGTTTGGAGCACCGAGAATGGAGCTGGGAAGGGTTTGGAATGCCAGGAATGGAGCTGGGAAGGGTTTGGAGCAGTGGGAATGGAGCTGGGAAGGGTTTGGAGCAATGGGAATGGAGCTGGGAAGGGTTTGGAGCAGTGGGAATGGAGCTGGGAAGGGTTTGGAGCACCAGGAATGGAGCTGGGAAGGGTTTGGAGCAATGGGAATGGAGCTGGGAAGGGTTTGGAGCAGTGGGAATGGATCCTGGAAGGGTTTGGAGCACCAGGAATGAAGCTGGGAAGGGTTTGGAGCACCAGGAATGGATCTGGGAAGGGTTTGGAATGCCAGGAATGGATCTGGGAAGGGTTTGGAGCACCTGGAATGGAGCTGGGAAGGGTTTGGAGCAGTGGGAATGGAGCTGGGAAGGGTTTGGAGCCCCAGGAGGGACTGAGGGAGCTGGGAATGTTTACCCTGGAGAAAAGAGGGATCAGGAGGGACCTTCTGGCTCCACACCAGGCCCTGGCAGGAGGGGACAGCTGGGGGAATCGGGGCTCTGCTCCCAGGGAACAGGGACAGCAGCAGATGGAACAGCCTCGGGATGTGCTGGGGGCCTCTCAGGTTGGACATCAGCAGGAATTTCCTCATGGAAAATCCCTGGAAACATCCCAAAAACCCACAGAGGCGGCACCTGGAGCCCGCAGCTGGTGCTGGACACCGGGAATGGTTTTGTTGGACTCGTTGGCTCAAAGCTCCTTTCCAGCCTGAACAATTCCTCAATTCCACAGTTCCTCAATTCCACCATTCCAAACCCAAAAGCTTGAATAAATTATCAGATTAATTAAGAGTTTTGCCATCTGTGGCATCCCCACCGTGCAGGCCGGGCCATTTCCAGCAACTTTGGGAACCAAAACCTACCAAAATATTCCAATTTTCCCAAGGAATAACAGCCCAGGGAAGCTCATAAAGCAGAGCTGCTGTGGATTCCGAGCTGCTCCGAAGCTTCCCGTGGCTCCAGTGGGTGATTATCCCGCCTGGTGCTGACAGCTTCCCATCTGTCCGGGGCTGGATGCTGCATCTTAAAAAGCAGGAGAGAGGAAAAGCAGCAATTCTGGCAGGAGGAGCTGGGATTGGGATGCTCACGGATCCTCGGGAACACGTGGATGTTTTGGGAGCTGCTCTCTGTCTGTGTGCAGAGCTGGAATTCTCAGGGATTCTCAGGGATTCTCTGTTTTTTGGGGCTGGTCTCTGCAGAGCTGGAATTCTCAGGAATTCTCAGGATTTTGGGGCTGCTCTCTGTGTGCAGAGCTGGAATGCTCAGGAATTCTCAGGAATTCTCAGGAATTCTCTGGGTTTTGGGAGCTGCTCTCTGTGTGTGCAAAGCTGGAATTCTGAGGAATTTTCAGGAATTCTCAGGGATTCTCAGGAATTCTCTGGTTTTTGGGAGCTGCTCTCTGTCTGTGTGCAGAGCTGGAATTCTCAGGAATTCTCAGAAATTCTCAGGAATTCTCTGGTTTTTGGGGACTCATCTCTGAGCAGAGCTGGAATTCTCAGGAATTCTCTGTTTTTTGGGAGCTGCTCTCTGTCTGTGAGCAGAGCTGGAAGGTGGAGAAGAGCTGGAGGCGGGGAAAACAGCAGGAATATTTAGAAGGAAGAAGCAGCAGGCAGGAAAATGCAGACACAAATCACATCCCAAATCCTGGAATTTGGAGAGCTTGGGGTGAAGGATAAAGAGACACAAACACCTCTGCCCTCACCTCACCCTTATCCTGCCTCTCTTTTTTGGGAAAAATTCCCAATTTTTCACTCCTCCAGCTCAGGAAGGGAGTTCCAGAAGAAAAAGAAAACCCTGAGGTGAGAATTCCTTATCTCCTTCAGTTTTCCAGCTGCAGGAATTTGGGATAAATCCACTCCCTCCATCCCAGGGCTTTGTGAAATTATTCAGAGGTGGAATTCTGCCTCTGGAATCTTCCAAACCACCTTGGAGAGAGATCCCTGGGCTGGGTGAGGCAAACACCTCCTTCCCAAACTCCGGGGATTTTAAAGAATTAAGGAATTTTGAAATCCCTGGAAGCGAGGCCTGCTGGCAGGGCAGAGCGGGGTTAATTCATCTCAGCCCAAAACGAGGTGGGAGAGGCGAGGAAATGACAAATCCTGACATTAAATCCAATTCTGCTCCCACACAGAGAGTTCTGATCCCACAGGGAGCTGGAAAATTTGATTTTTAGGGAAGATCCTGCCAGGGTTTCCTGCAGGCCCAGGGCCCAACAGGAGGCCGGGGAGGGTGGGATCAACCAGGCCTCAATCCTTCCCTTCATCCAAGGATTCAATCCCTCTTTATTTCCTATTTCCTGTTAAATTTATCTTTTTCCCCCTTAATTTTTTTATCCCTCCTGCTGTCGCTGCACGGCCCCACAAAAAATAAAATGGGATTTTGGGGTCAAGCCCTGCTCAGCTTCCCCAGGGATCGCTCTGGGCTGGGAGATTGGGAATACAAATCCCTGCTCCTTCCCTAAATCCCTAAAAACACCAGCTGAGGGGGACAGGGGGAATTGATCCAAAGAATTCCTGGATTATTATTATTATTATTATTATTATTATTATTATTATTATTATTATTATTATTATTAATATTAATAATAATATTGATATTATATTACTATTATGAATATTGTTTATATAATTTAATTTATTATTATATTATCCATTATTTATTATTAATATTAATATTTTGGGGGTGGAACAAAGGAGTTTATGGATTTATGGAGGATTTCTAAGGTGGATTTATGGATGCAATTCCAGAGATTCAGTCAGATCCTGGATCCCAGGAGGAAAAAGAAACAGGAACAGAAAGAAGAAGAAGAAAAGAAACAGGCTCATTATTTTTGTACATTTATTTAATTTAACTTTTCAGCAAAAATGTTGCAGTCACGGTGACGTCATCATCTTGGTAATTTAATGATGCAATTTCCTTTTGTTTCAGGGTGATTTTTGCTTTGTTTCTATTTCAGTTTCTCAGAGGAGAGTTCTTTCAATGAAATTAAAAAAGGGAAAAAACCGAAAAATTAAAAAAACCCCCGAAAACTAAAATAAAACCAAAGCAAGGAATTGTCTTTGGGGAAAAAAAAATAAAAATACTGGGCAAAAAAATTCCATCAAAGCAGCTGCAGGCCTCTGCTGCCATCGTATGGGAGCTGCCTTTGGAGCAGCGAGGAAACTTCTGGGAGCTCCAGCTGCTCCTGGGAGAATTCCTGGGAGAATTCCCAGGAAAACTCTGCAGCTGTTCCGAGCCAGCCACTTCCAGAGTGGAATTTATTAAAAAAAAGACATTTTTGGGAGTTGTTTTAAAGCTGGTGCAAACAGGAACATGCTGCTCCGGCGTTCCTCGAGGTTTGCATGAGGTTGCAGCCGTTCCGCAGGGAAATCCAGCTGGGATTGCAGGATCGGATCCTTGGGATGGTCCGGTGGGGACAGATCCAGAATCCTGGAATTCTGACTGGGGGGGAAGGGACACCTGCCACTGTCCCACCGTGCTCCAAACCTCGTCCAAGCTGGCCTGGGACACCGAGAGGGATCCAGGGATGGCCACAGCTTCCCTGGGAAGGGGAGAGGTGGAGATGAGGGGTGGAGATGAGGGATGGAGATGAAGATTGGAGATGAGGGTTGGAGATGAAGGCTGGATGAGGGTTGGAGATGAGGGAAGGAGATGAAGATTGGAGATGAAGATTGAAGATGAAGGTTGGAGATGAAGGTTGGAGATGAAGGTTGGAGATGAAGGTTGGAGATGAGGGATTGAGATGAAGGTTGGAGATGAAGATTGGAGATGAAGGTTGAAGATGAAGATTGGAGATGAAGGCTGGAGATGAAGGTTGGAGATGAAGGCTGGAGATGAAGGCTGGAGATGAAGGTTGGAGATGAAGGTTGGAGATGAAGGTTGGAGATGAAGGTTGGAGATGAAGATTGGAGATGAAGATTGGAGATGAAGGCTGGAGGTGAGGGTTGGAGATGTTTTTGGTGCTCTGGGCTCAGGCAGAACCTCTGTGCAGGGTGTTGGGTTTTAGGTCCACAGGCCGAGGTCCAGGGCAGGTCCAGAGAAATTCAGAGCTCTGCAGGTGCCCTGTGCTCCCATCGCAGAGTGGAGACACCCCAACACCTGCGAGACCCCAAAACCCTGAGACACCCCCACACCTGAGACACCCCCACACCTGAGACACTCCCACACCTGAGACACCCCCACATACCTGAGACACCCACACACCAGTGATACCCTGAGATACCCTCACACCTGGAACACCCACATACCTGGGATAGCCCACACTTGAGACACCCCCACACCTGAGACACCCCATCCCTGCTGTACCCCACACCTGTGGCACCCCACACACCTGAGCCTCCCCACCCCAGGACGGCCCCGCACCTGCCCCACCCCAGGCGCTCTGAGGACACCAGGTCACCCCTGGGAATCCCCCGATGTCCCCTCACCCCGCCGGACTCTCCCGCCAAAATTCATTCATTATTCATGAGGCTCATTCACCAAACGAGGGGGGCGTGGCCACAGGCGGCGCGCGCTTCCGTTATGACGAGGGGCGTGGTCAAATTTAAATATTCATGAGATGGGCGTGGAAAGCCGCGCACGCGCGCCGCGCGCGCCCCGCCCCCCTCCCCCGCGCGCCGAAAGGGGCCGAGGGCGGAAAAGGCGGGAAAAATCGTTATTACCCAAAACCGGCATAAATTCACCTAAAACAGGGGCGGAGTTGCCAATAACACTGAGGAAATACCGCTGAAGGGACACGCTGTTGTCGTCTGTGATCGGCAGCCACCAAATCGAAACTTAACTGTGTTGGGTTTTAATATTTGCCAACATTTCTGCTCCCAAACACAGCTGTGCTGCCTGTACACACCCGCCTCTGCTCCTACGATCAGAACCCCTTTTAACCCAAATAGCTAGCACACTTTGACTGAAATGAAGTTTTAAAGAGTTGAATTTAAATAATAATAATTTTTAAATGGCGATTTGGGGTTTCTTTCCCCCTCAGGGACACGGGGTTTGGTGACCCCACACTCCCATCCCCTGCTGCTCCCTCAGAGCTCCCTGTGGGCGCCAGGCTGGGGGTGTGGAGAGGGGGTTTCCCTGAGGTAAAAAAACGGCTGATAAATTGTTTCATGTGAGTACCAACAACTGTGAGACATCCTCTAATAATTTTATGTAGGTTTTAGGGTGTAGGTCCCCCATTTCAGCCCTTTAGCCACGAGTTTTAGTAGCTTGGGGGAGAGGGACCATGGTGGGGGACACAGCCTGGCCCATCCTTTGGCCTAAAGGTCACAGCCCGTCCAAATCTGACCCAAAACCACAAGTAAAAGGCCAAAAAGAACAAGTTTCATCAAATATTGAAGCCTGAGGAGCAAATGCAGCCTGGAGTGAGGGAAAAATAGGCCATTTTTAGTGTTTTCCCCTTCTGTTGGGAGCCAGGCCCCTCACACCGCAACCGGGCCGCCATCAACAACAGGGCCCAGAACCCTCAGCTCTGCTTTATATTCACATTATTCCCCAATTTAGGTGGTTTGCGGACCGATTTGCACCATCAATCTTCCACAGAGTCTTTATCATAAATAAAAACACTTTTTTTAAACAAAAATTTTCAGTGTAGGTTAGGGGTAACAACTCCATGGGTGCATTCGATACTCTAAGGTTTGTCATCCCCCACTTTGGCTTGTACTTGAAAATTATTATTTCATTTTATTCTATTTTATTTGATTTTTATACCACAAAAGAGAAAATAGGGGAAAAAAACCAAAAGAAAAGCCCCATCGAGTTAATATTCAAAGCCACTGGGTTTATGGTGATGAGGAAGGGAAAGGGAAACATCCCAAACCAATCTCTAGAGTAAACACCCTTTTTGCAATAAATGTTTGCCAAATGCTAACACAGGGCTCCGAGAAATATCAGGACTAAAATGCATCCATTAGCAGGAGTTTAGCGACTGCTTAAGGGCAACATGGGTGGAAGTTGATGCTTTCTGCCTTGTAAACAAATTAGTTTATAGAGACAAATAAGATGACCCTTCTTAGCTAATATTATGAGTTTAGCTTGTTAAATATTTAACATTTACCTTTCAATTTCCAGTGTGGATTAAGCAGTTTTCCAAACATTGGTGTCCCAGCAGCAGATGGAGATGCACAGCCCATTGCCCCGCTCTGGCTTAAGTCCCTAAGAAATAAAAAAACCAAAAACCACGTTAAGTCAAAGAGGAAGCAAATGGGACCTTTCAGGAAAGGCTTTAAAACTGACTGTTTGCACTCATTTTTATTTACATTAATTTTATCTAACTCTGCTCCGCACTAAAACAGCGATAATCGATTTAACTTCGACCAGATTGGACAGAAACAGACAAATATTAGACAAATCCTTCCCAAAAACCTCGCTGGTGGCAAAGTATTTTTCCTTCCACAGCTGGAGAGCCAAGGTAAGATTTTTAAAAACCACTGAAAGATCCCACAAATCCCCGCAGCTCCAGACAGAGAGTGGGAAGAAAAGAAAGTAGCATAGGATTGCAACTTTATTTCTAAAGCTTGGATCAGAAATATGCACCAGATTTAGCCAAGTTTAGAGGTGCCTGGTCCTAAACAGGGCTGATTTTTTATGTGGAATCCTCAATTCTGGGTGTAAAAATCCCTTGCTTTTAGAAGATAAGCATTTTTAATATAATTTTTATCTATAGCTGATTTTTCTTAAAGGTGTTTTGTCAATTTCCCCTCCTAAAATCCTAAAACCCACTAATTTTAGCAGCACTCACATTTCCCCCCAAGCCCTTTAAAAGTTTTCAGCTGCTTTAGCAAGCCAGAAATATCCCACAGCTAAATTAAAAAAGCTCCCAGCGACATAAAAAAATTCCTGAAATGTACAATTCCCAGTCTCTCTCCCAAAATTCCCTCGATTTCTCAGCACAAACAGAGCCCCCATTGTGGAGTGGGAAATTTCCTTTCCGTGGAATATTGGAGAGGCTGGCTGGAGCGATTTGGTGACCAACAGGGAGGATGTTTGGAGCTCGTTGTCTGTAATTTTGTAAATTTTTAATCCCGGGAACAATGGGCTCTGTTATCCGGGAGAATTTCCCCCAACTGCAGCTTGGAGCTGCTCCAAGGATGTTCCAGCCTGGAATGATCCCGCAGCACTTGGCAATCCCCCCGGAGCCTCAGCTGCTGCAATCAGGGATGAGTGTGAAAAATCTCACTTAGAACAGAAATTTAAAACACAGCTCCCGGTGTTGCCTGACATTGTGACGTGTGGCTGTTCTAGACACCCAAACCCCAGAAGGTGAATCAAATAATCCCATTTATTGATTCTTTCACAGCTCGTTTTCAGTCTCCAGTGATTTTGGAAAAGCCTGAGGCACTGACATTTTGGCGGGGCAATGCCGTATCATTTATTTTTATATCACATTATATTAAATTAAGCCTCGCACCAACTCATGAAAAGGAGGTTTGAAGCATCGCTTTGGTGCTTTTAATCTTCATTTTGGTCCTTCAGAATCAGTAATTATCGCTCTAAAGGAATGGTGATGATCCTTTCAATAACAGCCCTGGAAGTTTGGTGTTCTGTAGAATAATTAGCGTGACAAATTCCAGCGATGTTGTTAATTACTGTAGCTTGTACATTATGTAATTCCCCAAGAATTCCCTTCCAGAAATGTTTTCCTCACTTTCTGTGCTCTCAGTGCTTTTGTCTCTTCCTCCCCCCAAAATCAGCTGAACCCTCCATCCCCCCAGACATTATTTATACTTTTCAACACTCTAAATTCTTAGCTAGAACACGTTTTATTCTTTATGCACTAAAAGTTATTTAGAGAATTGCTTCCACCGCGCTGAACCCCAGCAGTTTATCCCACACACACACAGATGAGATTTTCACTTTGTGTTTCTCCAAGGGAGTCATTTCCTCTCAGCATCATTCTGGGAGCTTCTTCCTCCTCAGAAAATCAGAATTCAATCTGGTTTTTGTTGTTATTTAATTTTTTTTCTTTTCTGCAGGTGTAATTTATGGGAACACCAAAACAATGAGCAGCTGCACCTCAGTCCCCAGGCAGAAGCAGAGGAGGAGCAGCCGCCGCTCCGGCCTCACCTCGGGCAGGGATTCCCAGGCTCTGTCAGCGCTGGGGGATTTCCAAACCCTTCCCTTAGAGATCTTCCAAATGGTGCTGAATTATCTCTCAGGTGAGAAAACATCAGAAACATCGATATCTAAATATTACCGCCGATTTCCCCCACCCCTTTTTCAGTTATTGTTTAAAATGTCGTCGATTTTAAGTACTTAAAGTAATTTTGTGTGACTTGAACTCTGAATTTTCAGCTTTTTAATCACAGAAAAAACAACCGCCCAATTTTATATTTTCACATATTCACAATTCACATATTTTAGTGATAACCACAATCTACTTGAAGCCGTTTTTTTGCCTATCAAATGTGAAAATTATTCCTTAGATCTGTCAGCTTCTAATTACTCCAGCTCTCTGGCAAAGCAGACCGACAGCAATTAATTCCTGTTTTATTTATAAATCTTCTTTCTTGGCCTCGTTTCTGAAGGCAGAAGAAGTCATTGCCATTTTTCCCTTGCAGTGGGGATTTAGGAGTGTCCCGGGCTTTGCTTTTGCAGTGAAGGACATCAGCATGCTGAGCATGGTGTCCAAAACCATCAGCGGCCGCCTGATTAATTACATCTCCACCTCGTCAGGGAGCCGCCGGCTGCTGCTGCAGGACTTCCACCGCCCCGAGCTGCCTGCCAGGAGAGAAGGAGCCTCCATCCTGGAGCACTACAAAGCTCTAGGTGAGAGCAAAACTCACTCCAGATCTCCCTCCTGGGATGTGCCTTAACAGGGGATGTGACCAAAAAAACCAGGAGACAAAGGGCTTCTTCCAGCACAGAGGAATTGCCTGGAGTCCTTCCAAAATTTCTGAGTTATGGGGGAAAAAAACCCAAAAAACAGCGTGTCCTGCCTCCTCCAGGAGTCCAAATTCCCAGGGAACAGCGGGAGGATGAGCTCGAAGGAGGAGGTGATCCCAAATTCCCTGGCAGGAGGAGGTGACTCCAAATTCTCTGGTAGGAGGAGATGATCCCAAATTCCCTGGCAAGAGGAGATGATCCCAAATTCCCTGTCAGGAGGAGATGATCCCAAATTCCCTGGCAAGAGGAGATGATCCCAAATTCCCTGTCAGGATGAAATGATCCCAAATTCCCTGGCAGGATGAAATGATCCCAAATTCCCCAGTAGGAGATGATCCCAAATTCCCTATCAGGAGGAGATGATCCCAAATTCCCTGTCAGGATGAGATGATCCCAAATTCCCCAGTAGGAGGTGATTCCAAATTCCCTGTTAGGAGGAGATGATCCCAAATTCCCTTTTAGGAGGAGATGATCCCAAATTCCCCAGTGGGAGATGATCCCAAATTCCCTGTTAGGAGGAGATGATCCCAAATTCCCTTTTAGGAGGAGATGATCTCAAATTCCCTGTCAGGAGGAGATGATCCCAAATTCCCTGGTAGGAGGAGAAGCAGAAGGAATTCTCAGCCCTTTGGAGCAGAGCACATTCCTCAGGCTGGGAAACTCAGCCTAAGTTAAGCCAGGCCTAACTCCAGTACCAAGCACCTGGGTTCTGATGGGCTCCACGTCGTTCTGTCCCAGGTGGAAATGAAATGGAAATGTCATTTAGTGTTCCCCCACTGATGGAAAAATGGGGATTTGACAGAGAAACCACTGTCAGGGTTAGCTGGAGAATTGTGAATATGGGTTGAAATGCAGACACTGAGTAAAGGCATTGAAGATGTTAAATAAAGGCATTGGAAACATTAAATAAAAGCTTTAAATACATTTTAAAAAAACATTAAAAACATTAAATAAAGGCATTAAAATACATGAAATAAAGGAGTTAAAATACATTAAATAAAGGCACTAAAGACATTAAATAAAGGTGTTAAAATCCATTAAATAAAGACACTAAAGACATTAAATAAAGGTGTTAAAATATATTAAATAAAGGTGTTAGAATACATTAAATAAAGGTGTTAGAATACATTAAATAAAGACACTAAAGAGATTAAATAAAGATATTAAACACATTAAAGACATTACAGACATTAAATAAAGACATTAAACACATT